CCCCCTCCTTTAACCCCCCCCCCCCCTTTTTTTTTGTCCACAAACCACACACACACTCACACACACACGCCCACACACTCTTTTTAAACGACCTCCCCCCCCCCTCCCCCTTTCCCCCACACTTTGTGTGTGTATACCCTTACCTTACTGCCTTACTTCGTTTCTGAACCCCATTCCTCTACACACAACTTTTTCAACCCACCCCCTCCCCTCCTAAAGCGCCCCCCCTCCCCACAAATCTTTGTCTGTTCCACTGGAGTCCACAATTGAGTGCCCTAGAACCACTGTCACTGGCCTAACCCTGAGCGCTAACGACCTACGCGCAGTGGCTCCTTGCTGCTGCCACGTGATTGGCACGTGAGAATCGGGAATTTCGGTCACTGGCACAGTTAGCTCGACTCGGCCTACACCTAGTTTTTTTTTTTTTAAATAGAAGGTGTTTGTGGATGTGTGCGTGTCTGTGTGACCCCCGGAATGGGGGATGGTATGGAGGAAAGCACTACCCGATACCGTGATCAGCTGTCTTGTGTTGTTGGAACCAGGAAAAGATAGTATTATTAAACTGCTAAAGTTGGACTTTATGTAATGAGGATCACAACAGACCGTTGTGTTAAGTGACATCACAATAGACCGTTGTGTTAAGTGTTAAATGTTTACATAATCATAAGTGGTTTAATTATTCTGTGTCATGCTGCTATTAATAACACATGAAGTTTGAGGAAGCGCATCTGATGATGTCAGTGAAAGAGTGAAATGTTGGATGGCTTGTTGCTGTATACTATGACTATTCATACTATTAGATCACTCCGATGGATCAGTGATATTTATAAAAAGATTGGATCAGTGTTGATCTAATTATCAACGACATGGCTCACCGATTACATACGTACAGTGATCCAAGGTAAATTTTTAATTTTTTTTTTTAACTTTAAAATTATTTTGTCTTCTAATTTGTACTTTGACATAATTTAGTGAAATGGTTCGTAGCTTTAAAGATTTTTAAAGTTATAGTTCTAGGCCTCCGTAATGAAACGAATTTGGGCGTTCCACACTATGAAGTAATACACACAGAAGCAGGGGCGTTGGCTACGCCATAGCTAGGGATAGAGCCGCCAGTTGTGTTCCAAGATTTGTCCGTCATCAGTCATCAGTCATCAGTTAGTGCCCGAAAATGTAAGGGGAAAAAGTGTCGACAGGTGCGCATCGCTCCCTCATTCACACCCCCCCCCCCCACTCGTTCCTACGCCACTGCACAGAAGTATGTAATACAATGATAGCCCAGAAAGGGGAATTAGGAGTCAACGACAAAGTGTATGATGTGTATGGCTAAAAAAGATACAAACATTAGATGGGCCCGTATACAAACATTAGATGGGCCCGTATACAAACATTGGATGGGCCCGTATACAAACATTGGGTGGGCCCGTATACAAACATTAGATGNCGAAAAAGTAAGGGGAAAAAGTGTCGACAGGGTCGCATCGCCCCCTCATTCACCCCCCCCCCCCCACTCGTTCCTACGCCACTGCACAGAAGTATGTAATACAATGATAGCCCAGAAAGGGGAATTAGGAGTCAACGACAAAGTGTATGATGTGTATGGCTAAAAAAGATACAAACATTAGATGGGCCCGTATACAAACATTAGATGGGCCCGTATACAAACATTGGATGGGCCCGTATACAAACATTGGGTGGGCCCGTATACAAACATTAGATGGGCCCGTATACAAACATTGGATGGGCCCGTATACAAAGATTAGATGGGCCCGGATACAAACATTAGATGGGCCCGGATACAACATCAGATGGGCCCGGATACAAACATGAGATGGGCCGTATACAAACATTGGATGAGCGCGTATACAAACATAAGATGGGCCCGGATACAAACATAAGATGGGCCCGGATACAAACATAAGATGGGCCCGGATACAAACATAAGATGGGCCCGGATACAAACATAAGATGGGCCCGGATACAAACATAAGATGGGCCCATATACATACATAAGATGGACCCGGATACAAACATAAGATGGGCCCGGATACAAACATAAGATGGGCCCGGATACAAACATGAGATGGGCCCGGATACAAACATGAGATGGGCCCATATACATACATAAGATGGGCCCGGATACAAACATGAGATGGGCCCGGATACAAACATGAGATGGGCCCGGATACAACCATGAGATGGGCCCGTCATGCCGTCATTATGTTTTATGTAGTATCACAACAGCAGCGGTTTCTTTGGAGGACAAATTCTTGTGAAAAAATAACCACCGAAAAAAAAAGGGAACAAAGGGACATAACTCTGGTGACCTAGTTTCTCGTGTCTCTGCGCTATCAAATATTGTTTTGGGACCTGGACAAACATGCGTTCCTTTGGCAGGTTCATGGTCTCGTTGTTGGTGATGGTCTCGTTGTTGGTGGTGATGGTCTCGTTGTTGGTGGTGATGGTCTCGTTGTTGGTTGTGATGCTCTCGTTGTCGGTGGTGATCTCCTTGTTGTTGATGGTCTCGTTTTTGGTGATGATGGTCTCGCTGTTGGTGATGATCTCCTTGTTGGTGATGATCTCCTTGTTGATGATGGTCTCCTTGTTGGTAATGATCTCCTTGTTGGTGATAGTCTCTTTGTTGGTGATGGTCTCCTTGTTGGTGATGGTCTCCTTGTTGTTGATGGCCTCGTTGTTGGTGATGATGGTCTATTTGTTGGTGATGATGGTCTCGTTGTTGGTGATGGTCTCCTTGTTGGTGATGGCCTCGTTGTTGGTGATGATGGTCTCCTTGTTGGTGATGGTCTCTTTGTTGGTGATGATGGTCCCGTTGTTGGTGATGATGGTCTATTTGTTGGTGATGATGGTCTCGTTCTTGGTGTTGGTCTCCTTGTTGGTGATGGTCTCGTTGTTGGTGATGGTCTCCTTGTTGGTGATGGTCTCCTTGTTGGTGATGGTCTCTTTGTTGTTGATGGTCTCGTTGTTGTGATGGTCTCCTTGTTGGTGATGGTCTCCTTGTTGGTGATGGTCTCGTTGGTCGTGATGGCCTTGTTGTTGGTGATGATGGTCTATTTGTTAGTGATGATGGTCTCGTTGTTGGTGATGATGGTCTCCTTGTTGGTGATGGCCTCGTTGTTGGTGATGATGGTCTCCTTGTTGATGATGGTCTCCTTGTTGATGATGGTCTCTTTGTTGGTGATGGTCTCGTTGTTGGTGATGGTCTCCTTGTTGTTGATGTTTTCCTTGTTGTTGATGGCCTTGTTGTTGGTGATGATGGTCTATTTGTTGGTGATGATGGTCTCGTTGTTGGTGATGATGGTCTCCTTGTTGGTGATGGTCTCCTTGTTGGTGATGGCCTCGTTGTTGGTGATGATGGTCTCCTTGTTGGTGATGGTCTCTTTGTTGGTGATGATGGTCCCGTTGTTGGTGATGATGGTCTATTTGTTGGTGATGATGGTCTCGTTGTTGGTGATGGTCTCCTTGTTGGTGATGGTCTCGTTGTTGGTGATGGTCTCCTTGTTGGTGATGGTCTCCTTTTTGGTGATGGTCTCTTTGTTGTTGATGGTCTCGTTGTTGTGATGGTCTCCTTGTTAGTGATGGTCTCCTTGTTGGTGATGGTCTCCTTGTTGGTGATGGTCTCGTTGGTCGTGATGGCCTTGTTGTTGGTGATGATGGTCTATTTGTTGGTGATGATGGTCTCGTTGTTGGTGATGATGGTCTCCTTGTTGGTGATGGTCTCCTTGTTGGTGATGGTCTCTTTGTTGGTGATGATGGTCCCGTTGTTGGTGATGATGGTCTATTTGTTGGTGATGATGGTCTCGTTGTTGGTGATGGTCTCGTTGTTGGTGATGGTCTCCTTGTTGGTGATGGTCTCCTTGTTGATGATGGTCTCTTTGTTGGTGATGGTCTCGTTGTTGGTGATGGTCTCCTTGTTGTTAATGTTTTCCTTGTTGTTGATGGCCTTGTTGTTGGTGATGATGGTCAATTTGTTGGTGATGATGGTTTCGTTGTTGGTGATGATGGTCTCCTTGTTGGTGATGGTCTCCTTGTTGGTGATGGCCTCGGTGTTGGTGATGATGGTCTCCTTGTTGGTGATGGTCTCTTTGTTGGTGATGATGGTCTCGTTGTTGGTGATGGTCTCCTTGTTGGTGATGGTCTCGTTGTTGGTGATGGTCTCCTTGTTGGTGATGGTCTCCTTGTTGGTGATGGTCTCGTTGTTGTGATGGTCTCCTTGTTGGTGATGGTCTCCTTGTTGGTGATGGTCTCGTTGGTCGTGATGGTCTCGTTGTTGGTGGTGATGGTCTCGTTGTTGGTGGTGATGATCTCCTTGTTGGTGGTTAATTCAGTTTGGTTTATAAGAGACAGATGACTTCCCAACATGAAATACATACAATAAAGAAAATATAAAGAAAAAAAAACACTGCAGGCTACGTACAATTCGTGCATTCAAATTGTCATCTTAGTCCATAATGGGGTGGACTGGAGTGACCAAGATGTCCAGGAGACAGGTCAAAAGCGGCCATCTCCGACTTTTGTTTTTTGTTTTGCTTAAGACAACTTAGGTGTTTGTGTGTGTGGTTTGGGGAGGGGGGTTTGTTCTCATCAAAGGTCCCAGAGAACCTTACAATGTCACAAGTCAATCAAACAAAAGAGAAATTAAAAATACTTAATTTAAAATTAGATTAAGAGAAACTATTAATTAAACTATAAGAGTTCTAAATTAATTGGTTTGTATGGCATCTTTCCGTCTGCGGGAGACGATAGATTATCTTTATTGCTTGCAGCTCTTGGTGTGGCTGGTGAGACCAATCCTCGAATGGCAGTCTCTGTTACATTTCCCACACACGAATGCGGTGGAGCAGTATTTACTGGCCTTTCTCCTCGCTCTTTTTCCATCTGTTTCCGCCCTGTTTTGCTCCTCAGCATGTAGTGATCCTGCCTTCACGATGTCCCGCCATGAGGATCGATCCTCTGCCAGCTCCTCCCAGTTTGAGATGTCGATGTTGGCCGACTTCATGTCTCTTTTGCATATGTCTAAGTATCTTAGACGAGGCCGTCCAACTGACCTTTTCCCTGTCTCCAGCTCGCTGTATTGCACGTCCTTTGATATGCGACCAGGTTGCATTCGCTTGACGTGTCCAAGCCAGCGGAGGCGTCTTTGGATTAACATGGTTGTGACGCTACACATGTTTGTTTGGGACAGGACATCCGTGTTGGGGATTTCTTCTTGCCATTTAATGTCAAGGATGTGACGCAGGCATCTGAGGTGGAAGCCATTGAGCCTTCTTTCGTGGTTAGAGTAAGTGGTCCACGACTCGCATCCATACAGGAGTGTGCTCAGTACGCAGGCCTGGTACACCTGCAGCTTAGTTCTTGTTGTAAGTTTGGCGTTTGACCAGACTCTTTTCTTCAGTCTGGCCATAACAGTTGCGGCCTTCCCTATCCTTCCACTTATCTCATCCTCCATTGAGAGGGTGCTCGATATGTTGGATCCCAGATATGTGAATCTGTCAACAGTTTCCAAGTCGTAGTCGTCGATGGCAATAGTGGGGAGGGAGTCAGCGCCCTGTGCCATAATGTTAGTTTTCTTTAGGCTAATTGTCAGGCCAAACCCTTTGCAGGCAGCGGATAGGCTGGATACGAGGCTCTGCAGGCCGTCAGCTGTGTGAGATACCAAAGCGACATCATCCGCAAACAAGAACTCCCGCAGCAAGACCTTTCTTGTTTTAGTCTTAGCTCTAAGGCGGGCAATGTTGAATAATTTGCCGTCATCTCTAGTGTGGATGTATATCCTCTCGCTGTTGTTCTGAAAGGCATACTGGAGTAGGATGGAGAAAAAGATGGCAAATAAAGTAGGAGCCAGCACGCAACCTTGCTTTACTCCACTACTCACTGGAAAAGCTTCTGAGGCGGCACCGTTATAGCACACTGTGCCCTGCATGTTTTCGTGGAACTGCTTAATGTGTGCCCTGCATGTTTTCGTGGAACTGCTTGATGATGTTAAGCAGTCTTGTAGGGCAGCCTATCTTTTTTAGGATCTGAAACAGGCCGCTTCTGCTGACAAGATCAAAAGCCTAAGTGAGGTCGACAAACGCAATGTATAAAGGCATATGTTGCTCCCTGCACTTCTCCTGCAGCTGGCGCAGAGAGAAGATCATGTCTATGGTTGACCTACCGGCGCGAAAACCACATTGCGATTCTGGGAGTACACGCGATGCTAGGGTCTGTAGGCGTGTTAATGCAACTCGGGCGAAAGCCTTTCCAACTATGCTGAGGAGGAAGATTCACTCTTGTCTCCTTTATGTTTTTACAATGTAACGATGTTTGCATCTTTCAACTCTTGTGGTAGCTGTCCCTGTTCCCAGGACAGAGTAAGGAGATCGTGCAAGGGCCGTAATAGTACTCCTTTTCCACATTTGAGAGCTTCTGGTGGGATACCATCATTGCCCGCGGCTTTCCCACTGGCGAGACAATCGATGGCTCTACGTAGCTCTTGTGTGCTGGGTAGGGTATCAAGCTCCTCCATGACCGGTAAGTCTGGAATATCGTCCATGGCAGCGGTTGAGACATGGTTTATTGTTGCGTATATTTCCAAGTAATGCTCTATCCACCGCTTAAGTTGTTTATCTCGATCAGTAATAATTTCCCCTGATTTGGACATTAAGGGCGCAGTCTTGGAGATCAGAGGGCCTGTTGCTTGCTTTATATTCCTGTACATTGACTTTGCATCACCTCTATCACCAGCTGATTGTATGCTGGAGCTTAGATTGAGCCAGTATGTGTTAGCTTTTGTTTATATTTTCTTTATTGTATGTATTTAATGGTGGGAACCAAGTCATCTGTCTCTTCTTATAAACCAAACTGAATTAACCACCAACAAGGAGACCATCACCAACAACGTGAAACTGATTGGTTTAATTCTTAGGATATTCATTTCCAACACATAATTATTCACGTTAAAATATATTTTATAAGTGATATAATTATTATCATTATCAATTGCTACAACTGTATTATCCTGCCGCTTTCAAAGAGAAAATATACGAATTCAATTTTGTTTCGTCTATTCATGTTTCAAGTTTCAACATTGCCGTTACAAGATAGGCCGCCTTTTAACAGTAGACACTAACTGCTGCTCTTTATTAGCACATATCTATCCTTCATACAGTAGACACTAACTGTTGCTCTTTATTAGCACATATCTATCCTTCATCAAGTTTTGCTTTACTCAAAAAAAGGTTGCCGAACCCTGACTTTAAAAAAATTGGTTTCTAAATCAGATTAATCGCTTGTTAACGTTATCTGGGACGAATCGTATTCTTATTGAGCATACACTGTATGACTGTATGGTGCAGTTTTAATTAGACAGTTTTAGCGTTATGCAGAAGCGGCACAGACTACCCACCTCTCACTGACAGAAGCGGCACAGACTACCCACCTCTCACTGACAGAAGCGGCACAGACTACCCACCTCTCACTGACAGAAGCGGCACAGACTACCCACCTCTCACTGACAGAAGCGGCTCAGACTACCCACCTCTCACTGACAGAAGCGGGACAGACTACCCACCTCTCCCTGACAGAAGCAGCACAGACTACCCACCTCTCACTGACAGAAGCGGCACAGACTACCGGGATTTTTCCCTGTGTCCCGATGGGCCAGCCCACCACTGCCTTAGTCCACTTTTACTTTTGACTTTGATTGTCCCTCTCCAACTTCAAGAGTGCCCACTTTACATTTAATAAGAAACACAGACACAATAATACGAGCATATCTTAATGTAAGAACCGCAAGGTAAGAATCGATCATTTATTTTATTGTTAGCCGGAGAAGGCGTTTGACCGACACTTTTTGTGAAGGTACCGGTAGCTCCTAGTTTAGTTTCCTATACCTTCAATCTCCTTACTTTACAACTAGGAGGAACTCTTGCCCAATTGATTCATTTCGGTATCTGGACCCTTCCTTCTAGATTAAATATCACACAACAATTTCACATACACACAAGAAAATAAATATGATATCAAAACCAGACAAACAATATAATTCGCATAAAAATGTACAAAAATGTCATGTAACATATGCACAAACGAATGAAACGCACAAACGACATAATTACTTTTAAATTTAGATTTTAAACAAAGTAAACATTGTTAGCAAGTTGTATACATTGAAAGCACTAACATAAGGTAAGATTTAAAACATCATGATGATATAACCCAGGTGAAAAACATGTTTAAAGGTCATAAAAACCCAGGTGAAAAACATGCTTAAAGGTCATAGAAAAATACGCAATTTACACAACAGAAAGCCGATGTAGCTGTAGGCCTGTTGATAAACAGGCACCATAAGCTCTATCATAACTTGGAGTTGTGAGGTTATGGGGTGAGTCAGGATCTTATTGATTGGCAAAAACACAAAGGCGAGAAGAACAGACGCCGATGACTTAACTAAACTGTGCCTGTCACATGGGCATGTGTCCTAGTGAAACTGTGCCTGTGACATGGGCATGTGTCCTAGTGAAACTGTGCCTGTCACATGGGCTTGTGTCCTAGTGAAACTGTGCTTGTCACATGGGCATGTGTCCTAGTGAAACTGTGCTTGTCACATGGGCATGTGTCCTACTGAAACTGTGCCTGTCACATGGGCATGTGTCCTAGTGAACTGGTGTCTGTCACATGGGCATGGGACCTAATAAAATGTGCGCGTCTCATGGGCATGTGTCCTAGTGAAACTGTGTTTGTCACATGGGCATGTGTCATGGTGAAAATGTGCCCGTCACATAGGCATGTGTCCTAGTGAAATTCTGCCTGTCACATGGGTATATGTCCTAGTGAAACTGTGCCTGTCACATAGGCATGTGTCCTAGTGAAACTGGGCCTGTCACTTGGACATGTGTCATAGTGAAACTGTGCTTGTCACATGGGCATGTGTCCTAGTGAAACTGCTTGTCACTTTGGCATGTGTCCTAGTGAAACTGTGCTTGTCACATGGGCATGTGTCCTAGTGAAACTGTGCTTGTCACTTGGACATGTGTCATAGCGAAACTGTGCCTGTCATATGGGCATGTGATCTAATGAAACTATATGTGTCACATGGGCATGGGACCTAATAAAATGCGCCCGTCTCATGGACAGATGTCCTAATGAAACTGTGCTTTTCACACGGGCATGGAACCTAATGACACTGTCTGTCACATGGGCATGAGCAGTGGCGTGGCCTGAGGTGCGGAGGGGGCTGCTACTCCTGTGCCCAGACTTTTTTTACATGAAAGGGAGGCATTTTTAGCCACTTGCATAGTATTTTTTTCTCATGAAATGGGGTTAGAGGCCATAAAATTGTTACGTCTTGCTGCGCCACTTGGCATGAGTCCCAAACAAGAAGAAAATTTATAAGTACGGTTGTTGTCACCCCCCCCCCACCCCCCAACAATTTAAAATAAAAAAATTTTAATTTTTTTTTGGGTTGTAGCCCGCCGTAAATCTAATTTATCTGGCTATTCCATTATTTTAATTATTTTAGCCACTTTCATAGTATTTTTTTCTCCTGAAATGGGGTTAGAGGCCATAAAATTGTTACGTCTTGCTGCGCCACTTGGCATGAGTCCCAAACAAGAAGAAAATTTATAAGTACGGTTGTTGTCACCCCCCCCCCCACCCCCCAACAATTTAAAATAAAAAAATTTTAATTTTTTTTTGGGTTGTAGCCCGCCGTAAATCTAATTTATCTGGCTATTCCATTATTTTAATTCATTTTTCTTCAATCTCTCCATCTCTAGGAACCTGAACTACAGGAGTTGGTGTAGAGAGATCACCATGGAGGCGGGACTCGACCCCTCTAGACCCCAGCACGTGGTGTTGAACAAGAATGAAAAGTTGAATAATGGGACAACATCATCTTTTGGAAACAACAATGTGACATCTAGTGAGCACTCTGAAATGAATAACAAAGTAACTGGAAGCGAAAGCACTGAGGTCAATACTAAAGGGAAAATGTGGGATTCAGATGACGCCAAAAACGGGAATACGTGGGAGTCAGATGACCATAAAGAAAACACGTGGGAAACTGGTGACGCATACAGCAACAGGAATACGTTGGATGAAGCCAACAATAACAGAAACACTTGGGAGTCTGATGACGCATACAGCAACGGGAAAAACTTGTTTGACAAAAGCCATGTGAACTATCCAGCGTCGAGATGCATGAACGACAACATCAAGGAACTTTTACTGTTGGCGTCCGATCAAGGCTGCGCGGAGATGTTCCGAGCGCTGCTCGACACCCCCACAAACATGGATGTGGCGGACGCCGACGGTAATACTCCATTGCTGTTGTCGGCCGAGCTAGGCAACACCAAGCTGGTGCGGTCGTTGCTGCGGTTCGGGTGTCAGGTGAACCACCAAAACAAGGACGGCAACACGGCGCTTATGTACGCCGTGGGCAGGGGGCACGACATGGTCGTGACGTGCTTGATTGCCTTTGGAGCGGACGTGAACCTCGGGAATAATGACAAGGATAGTCCGCTAACTTTAGCCTGCCGCTGGGGGAAACTTTCAACCGTCCAGTCTTTGATCGCGGCGGGCGCCAGTGTCGTGTACCCGGATGCTAATGGGGACACGCCGCTGTCCCACGCGTCTCGTCACGGCCACGTTCAATTTGTGAAGCTCTTGGTGGATTCCGGGGCGCCAGTCGACGCCACCAACGGGGACGGAGAAACCCCGTTGTTAAGCGCCGCACACTACAAGAGAACCAACGTCGTCAAATACCTCCTCCAGCACGGGGCAGACGTCAATCACAAAAACAAAAACCTGGACACGCCGCTGATCAGCGCTGTTTGCAAGAGAAGCCTGGAGGTCAGCCTCGAGCTAATCGCCTCCGGGGCCGACGTCAACGCCGTGGACTGCCACGGCAACAACGCCATCATGTACGCGGCGAGGATGGACGACGTGGAGATCATGAGGGTTCTGATAGAGTCGGGATCTACCCTCGACCAAGTCAACATTCACCACAAAACGCCCCTGTGGTTCTCCGTCTGCCATTCCGTGCTGTCGCACAGTCCTTGTCTGAGACTCTTGCTGAAATCCGGCGTCCGCATCGGGTTCGAGCTGCACCATGCGGTCAGCGTGGGCCTCAACCACGTCGTGAAGGAGCTTCTGTCCTACGGGGTGATGCCGCACCACGCCTGTAAATCTAAGCTCAACCTCTACTCGTGCCCCAACCACATGCAGGCGTTGTCTCCTTTGACCGTGGCCCTGCTTGCGCAAAGAACCGACATTGCAAGCTACTTCGTAGATATCGGATTTCTAACGGAGTACGACCTCGTGAGCCTGCCGTTCGACTCCAGGCTGAGGCAGTTTCTCAAGGAGGACTCGCGAACGGCGTCGTTGCAGTTTATGGACAAACGGATGCGCCAGCCATGGAGGCTTGAGCGCTGGAGTTTACTGGTCGTCTCCAGAGGGATCGGGTTCAATCCTCTCACACGCGAAAAACGAGCAAAAAGTGTTGGACTGCCGACTGTCTTTCAGAAAATTCTACTTCCCCGTGTATAAATTCTTCTTCATATCGGATATTAATGAAACTGCGAATTCTAGCACAGTCGTTTCAGTCATGGGATGTCATTAAAGATCCAATGAAAGAGTGAAAATACAAGTGACAATTGTGATAAAGAAATAAAATGGTTCCGACCAAAGTACAGGACTATTAATATTGACTTAATATGAAATTTCTGCGGTGTTTATCCAAAGAGAATCAAAGAGTATTTTGTTATTCATTGTAGTGAGTGAAATCTAGTTTTTACTTGGCCTTATGAAATATTATCATTCCCCAGACGTATATCTTGTTATGTCATTACTTCACCTGATTTTCAAAGTTGATACTTCATTATTGAGTTATTAGGTTTGCCTTTATATTCTGTCATTAGGCAAGCCTATGTTACAGAGGCGTAGCGAGGGGGGGGCAGGGGGGACAGATGTCCCCAGGCGCCAGCTAGTTAGGGGCGCCAAAATAAGCTTTGATATTATTTTATTGATGAAAATAATGGGTTTGAGAGTTGAAAAAAAGAAAAAGCGGCGCTTTAAAATGGATCTTGTCCCCGGGCGCCAAACACCCTCGCTACGCCGCTGCTATGTTATTCTGTTTTTAGGTTCGTCTATATTATTCTGTTATTAAGTTCGCGTATATCACTGTGTTTTTAGGTTCGCTAATCTCAAAACTTCCCGAAAAACATTGATCATCAGTTTCCTAATTATCCATACAAATGTTCTCTTATTTCGTTCCTACCTCGGGTACGAGTCCCTACACAATAAGTTATGGATTCAGTGGCGTAGACAGGGGATGTGGAGGGGGAGTTCCGCCCGAATGACACTTTTTTTCTTATTTGGCGGGGCGTCATTTTCGGCCAACTGTAAATTTATTTTTCATGGAAGGAGGCAGCTAAAAGCTTGGCCCGCCCCTGGCGACAAAAACCCTAGCTGCGCCACTGTGTAGCCAGTAATGTCTGGATTTGAAATTTTGAAGATGATGAAATACAATTTAAAGTCATGGGGGTGGGGGTGTCTTTGGGGGTAGTTGTTAGTAGCTTGTGGACTTCAGAAGTTTATGTATATTTTGTTTTTAAAACGAGTGCCCTGCTACAAACACCACACTGCTCTGTTGTGCTCTTTTCAAACTAGTCCTGAATATTAAGAAACAACTCAAACTGATTTGCATTGAATGTTGTATTGCGACCTTTCATCAGAGAATTTACTTTCTTTTTTAAAATAAATTTTTAAACAAATATTATGGGTTTTGTGTAATCTGTGTCTTTGTAATGTTTTTATTGATTTTTCCCCTTCATTTTATGTCGTTTCACTGTCTGTCTCGTTTTTGAACAAGTTTACAAGTCCTGAAACGTTTTGCTGCTAGGCGTCCATGATATTCTACCAAATCTCATTGCAAAACCCATTTAACAAGACCTCGGTAAATATCAGCAAAAAGAGCAGAATGAATTCAACACATCTTACAAAAACTACAATCTACTTATTTAGGTAATATCTCACGATGAAAGCAATGTGTGTGTTCTAGGTTAATGGCATCCGTTGGACACAATGTGACGATGGTCTAAACTTCGCAGGACGAAATCTACAAGGCAAGGGATTATTCTTTAAGATTATAAGCTGGTTCCCTACACAGCAAATCGCCTCTCTCCGCGCCGCTGGATAACCCAAGGGAACATCATGTGGATAATGCAGCTTTGGCACCAGTGGCGTCGCAGGAGTTGTCTAAGTGTTTCATCGGAGTGTTTCATCGTGCCAATATTATCCGCCTAACGAGTCCCATCCACCCGGGGATACTGGTGATGTTTTTGCTTGACTGGGCGTTGGTAGGGATTAAACTCTGGACTATGAACTTGAGATTTGCTCAGTTTAGACCACTTGGCTACCCAGGAACCAAATGATCTAGTGGTCGGCAAACTCATTAGTCAAAAGAGCCAAAAATTCAGCACTAGGACGATTAAAAAAAATATTGAGAGCCAAATTTCTTTTCAAGACTCTGTCAAAACCATGTTTTTCGGAGTCAAAAGCAATTTGTTGAAGACTGGCCGAGCCGCACTCAGGTCTCTAAAGAGCCGTATGCGGTTCGCCGCGATTTGCCGATCACTGTGCATTTTATTTTATTATAAGATGTTCTGTAATTCGATAATACTAATACAGTGTAAACCAACTTACTTCGATATGTGTTGTTCGTCAGTCGGAAGTCGACCATGACCACTTTAATCATCAGAGTTTGTGCTGGTTCTGTCTGTGGGTGTGCAGATGGCTAATGAGGCCGATTCTGGCATGAAATTCTCTTGTGCAGTAGGTACAGGGGAATGATGGCACATGTCCGAGAGCAGAGTCAGACCGGGCCTTCCTTGCATGTCTCTTGCGCTCTGCAGCCGCTGTTCTGCCAACTTCATGTTGCATGGAGCTCCCATGCAAAGTAGAACGCCATGAAGTTCGATCCCTTGCTTGTTCCTCCCAAGTGTCTGGGTTTATGTTGAACGCTTTCAGTGAGGCTTTTATGTTGTCTTTAAAGCGGTTTTTTGTCCGCCAGCAGATCGCTTTCCTTGTTCAAGCTCACCATAGAAAATTCTTTTGGGTCATCTGACAATCTCACAACATGTCCCGCCCAGCAAAGCTGGGATTTCATCAAGATTGTGAAAATGATGGGGAACCTACCCGTGTTAGCACCTCAGTGTCTGGGACCCTGTCCTGCCATTTAATGTTGAGGATTTTTCTGAGTCTTGTTGTATGAAAGTGGTTCATCATTCTTTCATGGCGTTGGTAGACCGTCCACGTTTCACAGGCGTTGAGAAGCGTAGGGAGAACAGCTCCCTGATACACCTTCAGTTTAATTTGAGTGTTGACACCTCTTCTGGTCCATACGTTCTTAGTCAATCTTCCATAGGTTGCACTGGCTCTCGCAATACGAAGGTTAACCTCGTCATCGATATACACTTACACCAACTTACTTCAATATACAATGTAAACCAACCTATTTCGATGTAGAATTTACATCAACTTAGCTGTTCAAAACTTATAACCAACTTACTTCGAAATAGAATGTACACCAACTTACTTCGATATACAATGTAAACCAACTTATTTCGATGTAGAATTTATATTAACTGTTCAAAATTGAAATCGAGACTATGTGCTTTTATTATTTTTACAAATAATTTAATTTTGCGTACATTTATTTGTACAAATTTTTCTTAGTTCATAACACTTGGAAGAATATGCGATGGATGGAAACTTACTTTTTTTTTTACAAACCCTTTGTTTGTTGAACGAGTTGCTGCGACCACTTTTTTTATTCATCAATGGAATTGGGGGGGGGGGGGGGGTCTCAAGATATATGTCAAGCCTGCACAACTCAAAATGTAAGGCGGGCCGTAATACTTGATGAAAACCTTGTGCGGGCCAAAAGAAATAGTACAGGACTTTTGCGGGCCAAAAGAAAATAGGAAAAGGAGAAAGCTATTAAGAAAATAGTACGAAAAAAGGAAATTTTCGTTACTTCGCGGGCCGCAAAGTGGGTGGTGGCGGGCCGCATGTGGCCCGCTGGCCGTATGTTGTGCAGGCCTGATATAGGTGATTAAGGTATATGTCCTGACTTATCTTGGACCACCGCCTACGTTGTTTAAAGTTAAAGACACACACCTGGATTGTAATGACTGGTTCCAACTTATTGTAGGTCACTTCCACAAGTCTAGCTGCCCTTTGAGCAGAGGCCAGGTTTTCAGCAATAACAAGGCCAATAACTTGACCCTCGTGTTCCACCTGACAAAGAAAGTCCAGTTTGACAGTGGATTACAAAAATAATAAAGAACTAAAAAGTGGGTGAGCGTTTAGTGTCTTAATACTTAAGCGTCATCTTCAACATTGAAAATGTTTTGTTGAGAAAATGTACTCAAAAAGAAAGTTATAAGGAAATAAATCACATAAATCAATTAAATGACCCTGTCGCGGCATGTTGTGGGTGATATTTTAAAAAAAAATTAGAAATTTGTTTATCTTTTTTAGAGCTAATAAACTGAAAAGCTTTCTTAATTGTATGCAGCAGACTGGCACAATTTTTAAACTTTCCCTACGAATTATGCTATAGGGGTCAGTAGGATTGTGATCGCTGATAATCTTTAACAGACATTTACTCTAAGTAAAAAATATTTTAAAATAATGTTTTTAAGTGAATTTAACTCACAGTTCCAGATTCTGGCACGAAGACCAGGTCGTGCTCACTGTCCCATGCATTACTTCCGGGCACATCTTTACTGCTGACGAAGCCAACCACCCCAGGCACACCGAGGGCCTTGGTGGCGTCTATGCTGACAACTTGGGCGTGGGCGTATCTACCGGTCACAAAGCCAACAAACAGATGCCCTACCAGATAAAGTTATTCGACATAACTAAGTGTTTAAACTGGGGATGGGATGGTCACCAGGGGCGTCATGTTAAGGGTTTTTTCAGGGGGGGGGGCAACACCAAAACTTTGTCGGCTTGTTAACACAGTACGTAGCAATTTAAATAAAACCTGCAAATTCAGAGTAGGGGGGGGGGCTGGCCCACCATGCCCTACCCAAATTACGTCCTCGTGATGACAAATAAAAGTATTTGGTTTAAATACCTAAACCACAGAAAAAGAAAAAAAAAAAAAAACAGGCTTCTGACACAATGTGAGAACTCCGGTTTACATGGTCGAGGGGAGCGGGGTTTGAATGTGACTGGTGGGGAAAACAGAAGAATGATGAATTTAAAAAAAACAAACAACTCTTGGCTTAAAATAACCTCAAATAAAGCAGTCCTAATTGTACGATTTTTGGGAGGGCTGGGGAGAGGGTAGGTGCATGGGATTTACGGCATCTTGACCAGGGTTATAAAATGGCTCAGTCATTGAATTTAACTTTTAGCTGATGTGTAGGTAAGGAGTCATATTATCGGGCTTAATACTGAAAAGTAGAGAATAAATATTAATTTAATTTTTTTTTTAACAAAGCCTATCTTTCAAAGACCAGTTTAAAGATACTAAAAGTGGAAAATAATTCTAAATTTCTTAAAATGCAATAGGCAAAGAAAATATTATTTTTTTTAAAGTTTATTATTTCTCTTTTAAATTTTAATTCAACAGCATTTCTATGAACAAAACAAAAAAGCAAAACAAAGTAAGAGAGATAATCATTTTAATTTTAACATGTAACTCATTTTCCTGGTTTATGCTCCTTACCATCACTTGGAATATCGTCCACGTACAAAGCCTCGCCGGTCACCTGCTTGAAAGCCGATCTGTGGACCAATGGCCGACCCAATGCGTCGTTGATGGAATGGTCATCAGTTTGACCTGAGGGCTCATAGTCTGTGGAGTCATAGACCTGACAGCCGCTACTGACGCCCCTGACGATATCGCCCAAACCACTTGTGTCGAAATCAGAAATCTGAAAATTTAACGCAAACATTCACAAATGGCAATGTAAATCGATCGATGTCCGTGTAAAAAAAAAAAAAAGGAGGGTTGGGGGTAGCGAAGAAGGAACTCATCCCAGGCGCACAGTACCCTGACGATATCGCCCAAACCACTTGTTTCGAAACAAGAAATCTGAAAATTTAACGCAAACATTCACAAAAGGCAATGTAAAGCGATCGATGTCCGTGTAAAAAAAAAAAAAAAAAAGGAGGGTTGGGGGTAGCGAAGAAGGAACTCATCCCAGGCGCACAGTCAACTCACTTCAGAGGTCAGCCAAAATATTTTTTAGATTGACCTTTGATAATGAATTTACACTACAAAATCTAATCATGGGCGCCCGCAGCATGGTTCAAGGTGGGTCACATGACCCTTCCCTTGGAAAATTATTTATTAATACTAAAAAATCTACAGTTGACCCCGTTTATCTCGACCTCGGTTAACTCACCAACCCTGTTACGTCGACGTTTTTGAAGTGGAACCGCTAATTTCTCTCTTTTCTCACCGGTTTGTCGATTCTTTTATGTCGCCGAACCCTGCTATCTCGAGCACAAAAGGTGGCCAAATTTGCCACTTAACCTCGGGTATCCCTATGACCAATCGCTGGCTTTTGAACTCCGCCAGAAGAAATAGCAAACAACACATAAACAGGTTTTCCAAAATAAAAGAATATATTTTTTCCCCCTCATAATGCAGGACTTTTGTTTTAGAATGAACCTAGAAGTAATTTAAATAAATAAGTTTTAATTTGAGGTTTAAAAACCCCTTAGGGTTCATATTATAAATGATCATAATTTGTCGTGTGCAAAACGTTGTCATGGAG